AGTGAATCACAATGAACAAGTGAACTGACTCACCACATGGTCGCGGCTGAGCACTGACGGAGAGAGCAGAGATGAGGACGAGCATCAGAGAGATCATGATGAAGATGAACACACACACACACATACACACACACACTCCTGCTGATCCTCTTATATACCTGCACACAGGTGAGGCTCAGGTCATCGATGCGCCATAAACACAGCAGAGTCAAAGGGCATTGATGATTCACTCTGGAGATTCACATGCTTATATCATCTATAATAATACTGTCAATTATTAATGATGTCCAACATAAAGACAAATATTAATTTGTTATATATATATATATATAATTACACACTTATCACTTTGATTTTGGTTTATTCTGTTTAATAAATCTGTGAAGAGCAGGTATTCTTACTCCCACATTAACACCAAAACTGCAGTGATTTATAGTAAAGACAAATATTGAACACTACACGTTAAAATGACCCACAACTGTACCTATGGGTGTATTCTACTTCCAGCTATTCAGTTTACTGTAGTAATAACTAAAGTATACTCCAGTGTTTATTACAGTTGGTCAGATCACTATAGTTCTATGCTGGAGCACTCATTAACACAGAGCTGTTCATAATATAATATATAAATCAACTCACTTTACTATTGTATGGTTCAGGAATACAGCAGAATTGACTATAACTGACTATAGTATTGTTAATGTGGCCTGCTGTGCATGTTTAATGGATTATTTACACTCATTCACTCTCTGCAAACCTATATTTGAGTGTGCAGTATATGAAGAGGCTGAATACCAATCGTCATTCATCATGTGATGTAAAGCAGCATGTGATTAGCTTTATTTCACTTCAGAAACAAAGGTTATCAGCTCAGATATTAAACATGATCAATATATAGATATTTATGACTCAAACACAGCAGTAAACTCCAGTAAGGAGTGCTGTGTTTCCCCTTGAAGTGAGAAATAGATAGGACAGCAACAGCAGCACAATCAGTGTGTGCTGTAACAGTATAGAGTATATCACAGATGCAGATTACACAAACATCATATAACCTGACATTCCCCTCATTGATGAAGATTAATTATGTGCATTATGCTGGAGGACATGCAGGACAACATGATGATCTCACACTCACACACCTCTCTCTAGTGAGATTTTATTATGCAAACAAACCCAATAGAGCCTTGTTGAGCATGTATTTGAATTGGCATGGTTTATTTATTCCCTCATGTCTCCAGCCATGTGTGTGTGAGCGTGTCATATATATCAGGACTTCACCAAACCTTCAGAGGTCTAACACGTAAATAAAGACACATCATAATGTAAAACAGTGTAAAAATGCTGGTCTAAATTCAGTATCAGGTTAAAAGTGTTGCAGATGAAGAGGATAAGAACTGTCTGAACCCTACACTCTTGAACCTTTCCTCCTCTATCATCACTTATTGAACACAACACTGAATATAGACTATATTACTATTGTAGATACAACTTTCTTAATGCTTAAAGCACATTATGAGCTTGTTTTAGTTGCCACGTATACTAAAGTACTGTTCATTTATAGTAAATAACGTCATTTTTTTATACTTTGATTCTGTTGTAGTGATTCTACAGTTGCCATGGTAACACAACTACTACAGTAATTGATCTGTTGTGGTGATTCTACAGTTGCTATGGTAACACAACTACTACAGTAATTGATCTGTTGTGGTGATTCTACAGTTGCTATGGTAACACAACTACTACAGTAATTGATCTGTTGTGGTGATTCTACAGTTGCCATGGTAACACAACTACTACAGTAATTGATCTGTTGTGGTGATTCTACAGTTGCTATGGTAACACAACTACTACAGTAATTGATCTGTCGTGGTGATTCCACAGTTGCTATGGTAACACAACTACTACAGTAATTGATCTGTCGTGGTGATTCCACAGTTGCTATGGTAAGAGAAACTAAAGTAATTAATTTGTTGCGATTCTACAGTTGCTATGGTAACGCAACAACCAACCAGCAATATAACCAAATAAGCCGATACAGTAGTTTTCTACAGCTGTAGGTTATTACAGTACAATACAGCAGTTTACCGTAGTAAAAACTAAAGTACACTACAGTGTTTATTAGTTTCTGTTCAGCATACTGCAGTTAACATTCAAAGTGGATCAAAACTGTCCTAAAGCTATTGAACATCCACTCTTCTCTTGGGACAATAATAATTAAAGACCTGGTTGTTGTTGTTGTCCACCTGAATGTTCTATACTGTAGTGTTGTGTGTGTAGAGTACACTAGAGCATCCATTAACAGAGGTGCAAATGCTGTTAGCTTCAATATAATATGGTGTATTTCTATCTTTTATATTTAACCTGAACTCAGAGTGCTCGTCTGTACGTATAGAACACTTTATTATTAAATGTGGACCAGATTTGACCTTTATTAATGACTCATACAGCATTTAGAGTTCAGACATGTGTCTCTCCATCACAGCTGTGCTGAAATCAGTCAGTTACCTCTCACTCAGGCTGATCTGCTGAACTCCACCACATGATAAACCCTGGCAGACTCAGGAGAAACAGCCTCCTTCATTACAGAACATGCGGATGAACACCGGTACCGTGCAGCGTGATGACCACCTGAAACACCTCCATCCTCACACTGTCACTGCTGCCCAGAGGAGCTCTCCACTGACGTTCACGCATTCTCCTTCAGCTGAGTCCCTTATTCATCAGGGGTCGCCACAATGGGATGAACCATCAATTATTCCAGCATATGTTTTACATGGTGGATGCCCTTCCAGTACTGGGAAACACCCATACACACACATTCACACACACACTCATACACTACGGCCAGTGTAGTTGATCAGTTCCCCTATAGCGCATGTGTTTGGACTGTGGAGGAAACCCACGCCAACACGAGGAGAACATGCAAACTCCACACAGAAACACCAGCTGACCCAGCCGGGACTCTACTCTGGCTATGGAAACCCTCGTGCTGAGCTCATCAGAGGTTCAGACGGATTATTAACGGGCAGATCTCCTCAGTGGTGATGACTGACTCCCTACAGCAGATCACTGCAGACCTCACCTGTTCTCCATCACTGCGGGTCAGGGCAGTGAGGAGCGCTGTGAGTGTGGGTGATGAAGGACGCTGACGCCGGCATGTAGAAACCCATTTTGTTCATTTTATTTCATCATTTCATTCCCCCCAAATACACCGAGCTGCACATCACCAGCCCTCGCCCAGCCGCAGCTCTGCCAGACCAATCACAACAGAGAAACAGACAGAGTTTCCTCTTCCTGAAGAGTGACGAGGAAGAGGAGGAGCTCGGTCATGTGATGAAGAGCAGGATCAGGCACGTCTGAGATCAGTCCATCATCATGAGGAAACACACACACTGATGATGATCCAGAACACACTCCAGCGGCAGCAGCAGCGGCGGCAGCCTTACACAGACAAGCAGAACTACTGAAGCCCGAGCGCACCGCACCATACACACACACACACACACACAGCAGAGACTGAGTGTGTGTGTGTGTGTGTGTGTGTGTGTGTGTGTAGAAGACTGTAGATGAGAGAGAGTGTGTGTGCACGCATTTATGTATAAAAGTGTGTAAATGTGTGTGTTTGAGTGGATCTGAGAGTCTGAGTATGTGAGTGTAAAAGTGTACGCAGGAGAGTGTGTGTGAGTGTGTGTGTGTGTGTGTGT